CTAATGGTGGGATAAACCTTGAGGAGTGAATGTAAGGACAATGCATCATGTGTTGATGCAGAAAACAAGAAGGGAATGATGCGGAAAAGCAAAGAAAACTAGGAGTGACAGGCAGCACGCACCTCTAGGGGACGATCCGCAGTGGGTATTTAGAATCTCCCAGGAGCTATTTATCAGGAAATGAAGTGATAAATGCTCTGCTGGTACTTGGAGAATACGTTTAAAGCACTCTGCAGCATCGGTGTCAAGCTACAAAATCGACAGAGGCAGTAAACATTGGTGTTTAGCATTCTGTCCTTGGTGTTTTTCTTTGTCATTTTTAATGCTCAATTGATTAAGAACATTTTTGGCAGTTTAGTTTCAGATGTATACCTCATTCCTTGTCACTGCTTAAGCCTTTTTATGGCATGTGAACAATGTAAAATATATGTAAATATATACTAAGTTGTTTCAGCACCTTGGCCTTTTCGAACTCTCAGGTGAATATTTAAAAAAAAACCTTTCTCTTTTCCCCAGGATTTTCTCTTCACACTGAACTGGTTTGAGACAACAGAACAATCTCTAGTGCAGAGACAGGTATTTACTCATTGTTGGACAACACTTGGGAAACAGGTCATGGCCATGCAACAGGCCATGCTTGTGCTTTTGGGGAACTTAGACTGCAGTTATTATTTGACCTATACGTCAAAATGTTGCTCTGTTCCTATCTTTTCCTTTCAGCCTACTGTTTTGCAATCCAAAAAAACGAAATGTTGTGTTACGTGCATAGACTGTATCGAAAAATATCCCATAGTCACTTCAATGGTACCTATTGGTAGTGTGACTAGGGTTTTAAAATATTGTTTTGTCATTTAACATGAGTGTAGTAACATGAGACATTTTCAGGTGGTTAAAACATTAGCATATGTTGCTTTATTATTTGATTCTAAGTTGGACCATAATTTACATCAAACTATTCATATAAAAGGTTAACTGAGGTAATAGATCAAGTGAGAAGTAGTAGTTTTTCATAGACTTCCACACAAATATACTTTTTTTTGCAAGTAGCGGAGTTGCCCCCTGCTGGCCATTAGAAATAATTCAGGTTTAGGGCAATCCGACCCCACGGCTTGCCTTATGGTTACCTGTTTTTTGGGCAGAGGCTTCAAGGTGGGTGTAGCAGTCTGGTTCCTCCAGATTAGTGGAGGGCAGAACCACTCCACCTCGCTCAGGTAGACGAGGAAGGAGCAATCTGAGCCGTCTACACCATAAAAGGCATAGCAAGGGTCCGACGTCCAACGAGCGTGCATCCACTGGAAGACAAACAAACACAATTCTGTCTTTAAGGAGTATACTTTACGGACATATTGATATTTGACTAGAGATTGCCTTAAAAGCATCCTGTGTGTCCTCTCATAATTTTGAAACTGAATGGGCATGTTATTATTTTTCACTCTCATTTATCTTTAATGTGATGCCTCTGGTCCTTTACTGTAAGGTACATGCAGCCATCAGCTACATTTATATCTGGGTTTAGCTGGCTGAATAAACCTCTGTGCTCAAGTACTCCAGATAATTGAGCGTTTTCATGTCTTAATGCATGCAACGTAAGTCAGCAAAACAATCTGACAAGGTCATCCGGCAGGGTAACGTGATTAAGGAGAGAGGGCGGATTTTATTTAAAATGACTCATTTTCTGACATGCACTGTAGGCTGCAAAGAGTGGATATGCAAGAGGAGGAAGCAGAGAGAACTCGTTATTAGTGAAAACGTCTGGTTTTCTCACTAGGCTCATCCAACATTAGGCTGGATGGCTGTCATAAGAAGGTAGGGAGAGCTAAAGGATCATCCATATTCGCCTCCAGGAGAAAGGGACTTCAGTATGTTGCGACTGAAGCTTAAGCTGTTTTCTGTTAAAGAGAAAAACTAAACGGCAGAAACTGTTAGTTATACTAAAGCAGGAAGTACAGAGCACAGAAAAAGCAAGAAAGTTAGAAGACACAATATCTGGACGACAGAAATCTTGTTCTCATTTCATTTCAAACCTTTATTTATACAGATGAATCCCATTCAGATCATTGATCTCTTTTTCAAGGGAGACCTGCTCAAGTTCTGCTTGTGAACTATGAACTTTTCACACATTTTGTCCTCAAATATTGAGTTTTTTTCACCAATTTCCAAATGTTAATAGAAGGAACACTTTGGACATACTGTTTTGTTTATGCCTGTATTCTCCCTGAATCCTGCAGGTCCGCTGCAACTCTTAATACTTTTAAATCCAGACTAAAAACGTATATTTTTGCCGCTGCATTTGAGTGAGCTGTTTATATCCACAGTGCAGTATGGCTTTTTCATGAATTCTATATATGTTGTATTTATTTTTATTATCTTTGATTTTTAATGCCTGTTTTTAAATGCCATTTCATAATGTGTTTCTGCTGTATTTATTCTAATTTGTAAAGCACTTTGAATTGCCGTGTGCTGAAAGGTGCTATATAAATAAACTTGCCTTGCCTTGTACAAAGTGCTATTTTCTGCTGTTGCTAAAAGGCTTTTATTCACACAATGTAAGGTATAAACACAATATGTAGTTTGTTTATAAAACCATATATGTCATTTTTTTATCTTTTCCATTTTGTGTTTTTCTTTGCCGTGACTCAGAACAATTTGTCACTGAGACAACCCTTTTCTCCCCAAAAAAGCCTCTTATCTTTTTGTACACAATGTATGTTGCACCAAGGTGAGGCGCCAGGCGAGGACACGGGCTATTCGCTGTTTTTGTGAAACGATTTGGACTTAAGTGAGATATGGAAACTTACATCCATCTTGCTGAGACAGTCTGGATAACGGGGGTCTTTAGGAGTCCCGCATTGTGCTAATGTTCCATCCCTGACTGGAGAGAAGAAAAAGTACAAGTTGTTTATCAAAGACAGCACACTATCAGACATCAGGACAAATCAGAGAAAAATATCATCGTTGTGTTTTTTGTGCACAGACACAAAAGTAAATAAAAAAGAAATGCTTGCAAGGTACATTAAATATATATATATGGTGTTTTTAAATCTATCAGGAATTTTAAAAAAAGTATCTGTTTTGTATTCCCTTATCTTCTTTATTAATTTTTGTTTAGTAAAAGTTTAATAAATCTATAAAAATATAAATATTATATAAAAATATTTCCTTTGAAGTAAAAAAAAGAAAAGTTAATAATAATAATAAATCACAATTATATGATATAACTCTTATTTTTTTAAATTTCTTAATTGAATTCTAATTTGTATTTGTTATATTATTTTTCCATTAACTATAGCATTTTATCAAATTTGATTTATTTCTCTTCTCTTTGTCAAGCCCTTTGAAAGGTGCTATACAAATAATATATCATAAGTTATTATCTAGAAATTCTGTCAATATGTCAGATTTAACGTAAGGTTGAATGTTGCATTACAACAACCAGCTCCATACTGTATATGAATAAATACATAGCATTAACGACAGCCTTGGACCTCCAGGGCTTGTATTGATCAAACAGGTCTTTACGGTGCTTCCCTCTGGCATTTGGTCTGTTTGCGTTTCACATTACAGCTAGATGCAGGCTTTGGGATGAACAGAGACAAATTAGAGAGCAGAGCTAGCTAACAAGCTCCTGTAAAAGCTTGTCATCCCGGGCTGAACGGCCAAGTCTTTGTTCCCACCCACTCACTGGATTTACTATAGATAGATTGCATTAGTATGATTCATAAAAAGGACAATCTCCCCCTCTTATTTGCTCCCTAATCCTCTATCCGTCTTCCGTCTCATTGCGATGTTCTCTCTCTATCTTTCCTTTTAGTCTCTGCGTCTCCTCTCCTTCCGTTTCCCTCGTTTCTTCTCCTTGAAGCACGGCACTAGTGAGGCTAATTAAAAGGAGAAGTTGAAGCTGCTCTGCCAGCCTCCTGCCAAGCATCGAAGAGCACAAACAGGGACAAATAATTGCCAGCCATTCTGTCTGATTACCACGATAACAACAGATGTCTCACGATGAAAAACGCTATTGCATGCCGCTGTCAAAACTTAGCCAGGTTCAGATCCGCCTAACTTAAATGATAGCAGGCATCATGACAGACACATTATCTGATACATTTTAATGAGACAGTGAGGGCAATAGACATAAAGTTCAATGTAGCGGGAAACAGGAGGGGAATTGAATTGTGAATTAAACTCGCTGTCGGATTCCTATTCTGTGCCCAATAAAGAAATTGGGAGTGAAGGCTAATAAAGAAAGCTGACAGGCCCAGATCCCATTAACTAGGCCGTAATTCGTCATCATGATTTAAGCGTCCTGTAGTCGTGTGGTTATGATAGGGCAGCAGCGATGGAGCACTGGAGCTCCCACAGCCTGACACACACACAGTAGCTTGCTATTCGAAGGGCTAATGTGCTGTGAATAATATCTGTCATGTTCTATATGATCAACCAGCAAGAACACATAGATGGTGCATTCAAGTGCAGACTGGATCCAGGCTTGACGGTCAGGCTTATGTGGGCAGCAGGGAAAAGTGTCTTCAGATTGGATGGATTTGAAATAGACAGTGGGGGATTCATCTTTTTTTCTTTTACTGTATTTAAAATTAGTATTCTACTATTTCAACAATTGGACAGTTTAAACATCCTAAAAACAAACAGAATTAGTAGAAGCGGGAGGGCAGAAAGCATAGTTCATAATGAGCCCTCCTGTTAGTCATCCAGCTGCAGGGTAAAGAAAAAAAGATAATTCCGTAATTAAATACTCACACAGACAACCACAATTATATATATATATACCCATGTTTTGGTTAGTTAGAGTAGTCTGCTAAACATTTTTTTTACAAGATTCCTCTTGAGGTGTGTGTTTTTTAAAATCGTACCTTTGTTGCCGGCC